ACCCTCTCCATCAACATGATTCAAAGCCCGAAAGGCACCTTAGACAGTGCAAATCATGGCAAGGCATGGAGGGCGACTCAGTGCGTCGAAGGCACCAAAAGGTTTCGATGTCGCATCACTTCGTCAGCATACCTCGGGATCCAGCCCCTTGCCGCGGCTGAACAACCTCAAGAACATATGGGCCGTCCTGCTTGCTAGACGACAATTTCCCCAAGGTGCGCAGGGGAGCCCGTGCTGGTGGTTGCACAGTAGTCTGTCAAATGTTGCATCGCACCCATGCCAAGCTTAGGCGTGCAGTTCAGACATGTTGTTGCTGAGGGACCGAATGGGCGACTCTGCCTGGCAGAAACCCAGATTGACTGGGAAGGCATCCTCGCTCCTGCAGGCACCCAAGGCTGCCATGAGTCAGCGTGGGGGTCTAAGGGTCTAGGGGTTGCAGAAGTTGAGGCTTCCCTGATCTCCTCATGGGGTACTCGCAAGCATGGAGCAGCATTCCCATGCGGCCCTGCCGGCCGCGGAAAAGATGTCCATGAAAAAGATCGTGGCGAGACACCTCGCACCAAAAGCAATCACAAGCAGGGAGTGTCTCTTTTAGGAAACCCCGCGAATTGTGGTTTTCCTCTTCTCTTGGTTCCCATTCAAAACACAACAAAAAAGCGGATACCCTCAAAGACTCAAAAGCAGAGAGACTCAGCAATCCCAGTTGCATCTAGCGCGCCTGCACCTGAAAGCCAGCTGATCGCGCCGCTTCGGCGGTTTCAAATATCGCGGCTAAGATTGCCTTGTCCAGCTCCTCGTCCAATAAGGACTTCACCTCCTAAGCAGTCTCGTCAGTACCAAACCCCGCTTGAATGACTTCCTCAAAACTAGATCCTCGGCGCCAGCCAAACCAAACCTGCCGACCCTGCTCCAAACTGCCAATGTGACCAGTGTGAGTCTACCATCCAAACCACCTGCCCCGTCCTCGGTCACTAAATGACAGCGACCGAAATGTGGGAACCTCGGATGTGAGCGGCGGCTTGACAAGGATGTTGTGCACCACATCTGCCACCAAGTTGCTCCCATGGGGAGCCAAACCCGGCCGCGACGGCCCTCGCAATGTGCGAACCTCCCCGCTGGCACATCAAACCGCCGGAGCTTCGCCGCAAAAGCAAGGTGCCCCTGCCTTCGATGGACGGCAGCGGCCGCAAACAAAGCTCCACGGCAAACGGCTCGTTGTTGTGGTCCCGAACCACACCAACCTCCAGCCTCTCGCTTTACCGCGCGACGCTTCTGATCTCAGGGGACCCCATTGGCTTGCAGCAAAACTCCTTCGGATTCAGAACCCGATGCCCTCCGCGAACTTTTCTGCGGCATCTCATCTCTCACCCGGCCTCGCCAGCAGCTGCTCTGCCGCATCCGCGCTCGAAGCGCTGGCCGCGCTGGCCGCGCTCGCCGCAAGCAGCCCCAGCGCAGAGGGCCGCAAGCGGCAAAGCAGCATCAGGAGACCCGAGTGGCTGGAAAGCGCCCAGAACTTCACCAGATCTGGTCAGGCCGAAAATTCAGTCTGTGCAGATTGAAATGCTGTACCGCCTGCTGCTTGACACGGCTTTGGTTGGCTTTGGCATGTGTGTGTGTGTGGGTGATTGCACGCAGCCACACCTGTGCTGCGAGAACAGCATCATTCTGGCCCAAACATCGAAGAAACCTGGTTGATTGCTTGCTTTGGGTTGCTCACGGCATGTAGGGCCTCTGGGGAATGAGGGCCGGCAAAAAGGTTCAAGCTGTGCTGCTGCGCGTGCGTTTCCATATTCCCATGCCGGCTATCGGAAAAAAGCAGCAGCATTCTGTCAAAATGACTCTTCTTGTGCTCGAGGCAAAACTCGAGGAGTTGCACCTTTCACCCCAGGCGCACATCACGTGCAGCTGCCGAGGTTGGTAGCAAGCTGCTAGCAAAACAAACAAAACAAAGGTCGAATAGCTCCTGTGCAAGTGCATTGTCACAATGTGCGGCCGCACCCTGCTCAAGGTTGTGATAGATACTTGCAATGGGAAACCCCGAGTTTTTCCACCCCAGCTTACTCATTGGGGGGGTTCGTGCCTGGGTTTGGTGACAAATCACTGGACGGGGGCGTTCCCCCATTCATAGGACCTGCATCCGGGGCCCCATCGCCTGGGCTCTCAAGGTTCCCAGTGCTGGGCCGGTGCTCCAGCGGCCTCGGCTCGACCGGTTTTTTTTCTCGGGGGCCTTCTTGGCTTTTCAAAGCACCGGATTCAGCGCCGGTGGTTTGGATACCCCCGTTTTTTTTGTGATTTGTTGATTTGTTTTTTTTCATCAGCTCCCTTTCCACCACCGGCTAGGCGAAACATATTTCACGCCAAACCTGCCTGGGATTAGCTGGTTTTTCCCCCCCCCCCTCCCTGACAGCTCCTTCTCCCTAGCAGCTCATCAGGCTCCATATGTTACCCAAAGCCCCTGGCACGAGTTTGGGCCTCCGGAGCTGCGCCTGTAGCCTTCTACCAGCGGGTTTGGAGTGGTCGTGGCTCATGCGGCTGTGGCTGTGGCGAATTCAAAAAACCGGGTAACCCCAAAATGGGTTGCCCGATCGGTAAGTGGAGACATGGATAAAACCTGCGGTTTCCCCCCCCCCCCCCATCGTTCAATTTTGATTGCCACACCCATGTGGCTCATGTGGCGTGTGCGCGCTGCTTTGCCTGGCATTTTCTCGGCGTCACCTCCAAGGCCCCCAGCCGCAGCGAGAGCTTCCGCTCCGCGGTCGGCAGGGCCGGCGCCTAGGAAACACCAGGAAACGCGGTGCCACGGCCGGCCACTTCGACGAAACACTGCAATGTGGATCCATCAACAACTGGAGGTGGCCCCTTTTTTTGGAGGACGCCAGGTTTGTGGTGTTCAAGGGAAACCCTAGTTTGTCTCTTTTTGCCCGCTTTCCCTTTTTCTCTCTGCTTGTTTTTTGGGGGGTCGGGCTTAGTTACGCACATAATGCATGCGTCTTCCAGCAGAAAAACAAGATGCACCTCTTTTACATCCCTCGTGTACTGTGAGTATCACCAACTTTGCGGACTGCGCCAGTCTTCGAGCAGACTGCTTCTGCGGAGATCCGATGTGTAAACCCAGCCGACTGGGAAAAACAACAACGCTCTTATTTGCAGGAGGTCAAGCTGTTCCTCACATCTCAGTTGAGCAGAGATGCAGGGCAAGAGTAAAGCATGATTTCTATCAAGTGGTTGGGAGATGAGCAAGTCAAGCCATGAATGAATTCTATCCACTGAAATGTCTGGTAGGAAAGCGAATATGCACCATGAAGTAGATTTGCTTGGAGGACTTTGTCAACTGCTAGGTCTAGTAAGCTTTCTCGAAACCAGCGACATTCGGGGGGTGGAAGACATTCCAGGGATCCTCACATTATACACCTGAACATTGCCTTGTAAATGGTAGTTTCGCTTAATTTTGGTGGAAAAAGCAATGTTTCAAATGGTTGCAAAATTTATCTTTTAAGGAGCCCTGCATTCCTTCGAGTAAATGAATCTCACTTGAAGCCTGCAGCGTGTGAAGTGCAACCGCTGGGACCATTCTCAGTGAAGCGCTGAGGAAGACTTGGGGAACTGCGGCCTTCGCAAACCTGAGCCGTCTGCAAGGAGTATTGCACTGAGGGTTGACATGCTGTGTCCAACCAAATGTCCCCACCCGTATCGTCGCCTGCCTGTGGCTGACAAAAATCCGCTGCCCAAAAAAATCCAAATGTTTGCCTCTTTCAGGAGGGAATCCCCTGAAATGCGGGAAACCCCACCATCAGCTCCCTTTCAAACGGCACCCCCACCTGGCAATGACGATTGTGACAGCACCGTGGGCGACAGGAGTGCCTGGCTGCAAATTGTCTGACCCCTGCGTCTCGCTAAATGCCTCCTCCACTACACCCCCTCCAGGGGCAAAAAGGCACAAAACCACGAGGCAGGCGATGCAATCGCCAGTGAACTGGCAACGGTCTTGACTTGAGGGTCAAAACCAAAGGTACCATTTTGGGGTAGGTGCACCACCCATTTTAGTCTATTGTAGTGATGATGTTCACCGGTACGTTGTTTTGACCCAGGGCCATGTCATAGCCTCCCCCTTGAGCAGCGGGTCGTCCAAGGACTTCAGCACGGCGGGCGGCGCTGTCCACACAGGCCTTGCCACATGCGCCACGTGGCGAATGGCCGGGCTGGCTGCACCAGCCAAAACCCCGCCTGCGCCGCGATCCCGGAACATTCACAGGCTCAGCCATGGCTATGGGTTGAAGGGCTAGGCTCGGCGTCCGCCCTAGGTTTTGACATTTTTGACCATCTTTGGCATGCTTGGGGTTGGGAGCAAAAGGTGCAACTTGGATGAGCTCTGCATAGCTCGGTGTAGGCTGTGGCAAGCATTTCCGCCGTCCCGCAACGCGGGGGGGGGTGCCGAAACCGAAAGGACAACGCCTTTGGCGGGTCCCTGTCAGTTCGCTGCACCTCGGAATGCGCGCGGGTCATGGCCAAAGCAACAGCTGCCTCATCCCGCCCTGCCCAAGCTGGAAGATTTGTTGGAGACGGAGGTTGCCAGCCTTCCGCTTGCCACGTGCGGTGAGGCAAGTCTCTGTGATAACTGTGATAACCGAAGGTTTTCGCAAGGAGCCTTGCATGAAAGGATTAAGTGCCATGGTTGCTGCAACAAGGGGCAGGCACGGCTCCAAGGAAAAATTTGATGATTTGCAGCTGAGGCACGTTGGCAGCAGGCTTCCGCCCCAGTGCCCGTCACAAAAGGTGGGCAGGCACTTATGCACTCGGCCGGGCGGAAAGGCAAGCATGGCTCATTGTCACACCCTCATCATTTACCCAAGCCCTGCAACAGTGCCAGGGAACACATGATTTTGTGCGTCATTGGGCGGGCCAGGACGCAACATGGACACGACAAATGATTGGGAGGCCACGCCAAGAAAGGCACAGGTGCCGGAAAATGTGAGTCTACTGCAACGGTCGGCGGCTCGCACCGACACATGTTGTCAATCTCCAAGGCCGCAAACCTCAGCCGATCGTTGCATCGGCTTCGCATGGTCTCGATTGAACATGTCCATGTTAATCAAGTGTGCCCCTTCAATGTTCTTGACACGACATGATTCATGATCATTGGAAATCTCTGTCAGCTTGCCTAGTGGATAGAAACACCGATTGCTCCATCACACCCATCATGCAACGATCATCAACAGGATGGATGCATGCAAGCGGACGGATGAGCTTGGGCAGGCTTGCAGCCTGCTATCACAGCCATGCCTCGGATGTTTGGCCTGTGTGTGTGTCCAACAAAACCTCGAATTCACGGCCGTACAAACCAGGAAGACGACCCCTACGTGCCCGGCGCCCAACGGGCGGCGGACGAGACATCGCAGCGTCTCCAACGTCAGTAGGCAGTTGGCAAAGGCTTTTGCAGTGTTTGTACGCGGCTGCGACAGCTCCGTGCTTCCAGTCCTCACACATGGCCAGTTCTTTCATTGCCTGACCTTTCCTGCTGCAGGCCAGTACAGGCGACGGCCCACCGCCTGGCAAGCAAACAATCACTCCGTGGCAGTACCAACAGAGTATCTCGTGCGATTGGCTGGATGCCACCCCAAGCACCGTGAGGCGATGCTGGGGTTCCCTTCGTGGGTTGGGGAGGCCTCCTCGCCCCGTCCCCCTCCCACCTTGAGGGCCAACACCATTAGGCAACACTGCCGAGGCACGCTGGAACTCTGGATGGGGAACCCGATGCTTGCGCTCGGCGGGCCCAAACATCACATCCACCGCGACCCGCACTCCAAAGACCAGAGGCCAATCGCTGCAACTGCGAGCCGGCGCCCGATGGTCAGCGGCACAAGCACAACCTGAACGAGCCGCACACATAGTGTTGCAAAATCTGTTCCATAAGTGAGTGGCGCCATTCTGCGGCTTGCCCTTGGGAAACAAAACAGTCGACACAACCATTGTGCCATGGTGCGGTTGGCTCCTTGAAGGTGCGGAAGGAGAAGGAGAAAAACAAAAACAAAAAAACTCGCGCGTTGGCAACGCCGTGAAGAAGAGGTCGCGGTCAAAAGGTCAGAGGCAAACTAAGCGTCGCCGAAGGCCGGCTGCAAGGACGGGGCCAGTGCGTCACGTCACTGACAATGGGGTCGACAGGGTGGCCGACTTCGTCGTCCAACACGGGCAACCGTCAACAGCAGCAGTAAAACCAGAAGGCCCAACACCTGCTTGCGCGGGCGCCGGAGGCCTGCGGCAGGCGGAGCAGGGGACTCTGGCTGAAACTTGGGCGGCCGACGCTCAGAGTCGCGAAGCTCGGCAAGGGTTGCTTCAGTGAGCGGGGCCAGCAGGCAGGCCACGAGGGCAGAGCTGGCGGGCGACAGCTCCTCCAGGCGGACGAAGGAAGTGGCTCGCTGGACGGCGAACGCGTTGGGCGGTGCAGCAGTTGGGCGGTGCAGCGGCTGACCGCGGGGCGGCATTGAAAGCGGTGGCGCCACGTAGGTTTGCTTGAGAAGAACATTGGCCCGGAAGGCGGCAAAGCAACATGCGGAGGAGCCAGAGCAAGAGAGCCCAGACAGGGGACCGCTGGGCCCGCGCGCGTGGGGGGTACTCCTGCAGCCCACTCAATCCCGACCCTCCCTCCGTGGACCACGCTTGGCCCCAACCTCTGCAGGTAGCGGTCCCCAGCAGGCAGCGGAAGTTGCCGAGACCGCTTTCCAGGTGTTCAAGAGGGCAGCCGCGACTGCACAAGGCACCCGTTGCACGATGTTGCACGATGGTCGGCTAAAGGGCAAAGGCAGGCGCAGGCGCCGCAACAGAAGCACGCCGCAGGAGGGTAGGCAAGCTTTGCGCAGCTCGGCACGCTGGTGACGAGTTGGCTGCTCTTGCCCACCTTCCCGGCACCAGCCCAGTTTTTGGTCCGGGCCGCCCAGGCCGTGGCACAAGCCCAAGTATCCCCGCTGCAGCCTCCGCTGCATCGTGGCCCTTCAGAAGCCAAACGGCCGGGTTCGAGGGATTGTGGTCAGAGACTTTTCGAGGCGCCACGTTACCGTTGCCGGATCCTTTGCGCAGCACTTTGCTACTACCTTGTGTTGTTTTTGTCGATGGCATTGAGGCTTTTGACACCATGCTGTCTTTCATCCTGTTGGTCGCTCGATGCCTTGTCTGCGCACTTGGAGACACACCACTGCCGGATCCGCCTGCATGCTGGTAAGGCACGCGAGCCGCCCCACATCTGGCAGCCCAACGCGGCCTCACTGTGTTGGGGGCGCCGCTGGCCCAGAGCGCCTATGAACCGTTCCGAGCGCTGCACACGTGTTATAAGATGTATGCACTGCTCCAACCGTAAACCCCCCCAAACCCTTCAACACTCGACATGGGCGCTCCTCTTTTGGCCGGGTTGCGCTGGAGTCCCTGGCTGACGATAGGAGGCTCTTCCTCAGACAAACCTGCCCAGGGTTGTTTTTTCGCACACGCCTTTTTGCACCAGCACGAGTCAAGTCTCCCGAAACCCTGCTTCAGGGGGTCCCCCAGGCACCAGGGGCACTCACGCTGTTTTTTTGGAGGCTAGCGTCCTCAAGCGGCTTGCAAGGGGCGGGGGGGCGGTGGCCTCCGCAAGGAGCTCACTGAGTGGCGGAGCGTCGCCGTCACAGTTGGACTGGCCAGGCGAGACAGAGCCAAGGAGGAGGGACTCCGTGAAAGCCAGGTGGGCGGCAGACGCGAGCAAGGCGGACCAACGGGCAACGAAAGCGGACACGACTGAAGGCTGAAGGAGGGCCGGCGTGGAGCGAGCTCGCGCACGAGCGAGGCTGCGGAGGAAGCTGCGCGCTTCAGGGCTCCACCGGCCCCCGACCTCGATGGCAAGCACGACAAGGCGGCACCGCTGGGATCGCAGCAGCTCCGGGTAGGTGCGCTCCTTCCGGCGCCGGGCCTCGCGCAGGGCGGCCCCGTCAACGCGGCCAGCATGTCTACGTGGCTCGCCGGAAGAGGAAAGAGGCGAGACCAACGTGGTAGCGACCGCTACCTGAGCGCCATTCTAAAAGGTTCGAGCCCCTCAGCTCAAGTTGAGGGGCGGTTGCCAGCGGGCGCCCTGTGCGTGCATCACAATTGACCTCTGGCAGCGAGTTGCAAGTTCATGGTGCGGCGCGGCACTGAGGACGGGGCAGTATCTGCGTGGGCCAACAAGAATTGCAGGGCGGTTGCGGCCACTCAGGCCAGCACTCGGTTGAGAAGGCAGGCTGAATTTAATGCAACGCACAGTACACTAGGGCAGTGCGAACAAGGCGGGTTTCAAAAAACAAAACAGTTAAGCTTGGAACAGTAGTGGTGTAGTTCCTGCAAGTCCCCCCCCCCTTTTGCGAAGGGGCAGCTGGACGAGTTGGTGCGGATGGCTTGCAACAAGGAATTTTGTTCGGCACGGAGCTGATGCATCAGCTAAGCAGGCTGGCGGGACAGGCCGGCGACAGGCCTATTGGGATTTTTTTCTCGCGCCTTTTTCCGCAGCGTCTCTGTCGCAATTAAGGGGGGCCCCGGGCACTAGGGTTCTGCAAGCTGTTTTTTCGGAGGCCAGCTTCCTCACCTGCACGCTGTTTTTACGGAGGGCAGCGTCCTCGCGTGCACACGACGGCTACCGGGCCGGCAGCCGCGACGCCCCAGGCGAAGATGGGCACGCCGCGAGAAGGTCACTCAAGTCCGGGCAAGGCCCATCAAGGTTGCTCAGGCCAGGGGAGGGCAAGGAAGTGAGGCTGTCAGCAAAGGCAAGCGAAGCTGCAGAGCACAACAAGCCGGACCATCGGTGGACATAAGCACTTCGAAGGGCAGGGCGAAGGGCCTCCGGCGCGGCTCGGGCTCTGGCACGCGCGAGGAGGCGGAGAAAAGAGGCGGCCTCTGACCCCCAGCGGCCTCCGACCTCTACACCGATCACAACCAGGCGGCAGCGGGCGCTGGCAAGAAGCTCGGGGTAGGTTGCTTCCTTGCGGCGCCGGGCCTCCAGAAGGGCGACGGGTCGGGCCGGGTCGCGCCGAGAACGGGCCTCCCCAGCGGCGGTGAGCGGGGACACAATGGTCGTGTCAACCGCGAGCTGGGCCCCATTCCACAAAGGGAGCCCGTTGGCGATGACCTCGATGCGACGGTCATCAAAGCGAGAGACCGCCACATTGAGGTCACGGACAAGGGTGTTCGTGGTCACTCGAGCCCCGGCCTCGCGGCACACGCGGGCTGCTGCACGCTCGAGCGGGCAGCCTCGACTCCGGAGTGCACCAGACCGGGAGCACGCTGCACGGTGGTCGCCAAGAGGGTCAAGAGGGCGACGACACCGACAGGTGCGGGCGGACAGGGGCAGGGGGAGGCGGAGGCGCCGCAGGAGGAGAGCACGCAAGGGTTCGGAGGGGAAGGTGAGCTCAGGGCAGGTCGGAACGGTGGTGAAAGGCCGACTGCTGAATGGGCCAGTCTGGGAAAACAGAAGGGCCTGCGAGGGCACATCCAACTGAGCCAGGAGCTCCGTCTGGAGATGCGCGGCGACTGCGGCCGCAGCTGGCGCCTGCCAGCCCCGCGCGCTGGGTTCGGGCAAGTGGTCGCCTGGCTCATTGGACTGGGGGGGGGCTTGGGCACCGAGGATCACGGCATCCCATGTGGGCAAGTCAAACCCGGCCGCAGCAAGCGCTGCCTGTGACTGAAGCACGCCTCGGAGGGTGGGGCCGACGGGCTCGCCGGCTCCAAGCCTGGCAACAACGTCGGCGGCGAAGCGCGGGAGCTGGCGGTGCAGCACGGGAAGAGTGTCGGCCCACGAGGCCCAATACGCGGCCGGAGCGAGGGCGACCGCAGACCGCAGGTTGAGGCCACCTTGCTGGAAAGGGAGCTGGGCAAGGCGGAGCGCGTGGTCCGGGAGCGGGCCGGCCCCCAACAAATCCGCAAGGCAGGCGGCGACAGCCGCGTCATGGGCTTCCGCAAAGGCGAGCGAAGCCACAGGTGGCAAGCTGAAGGTCGGGCAGCGAGCGGATGCCTTGAAGGAGCAAGTCCTGCTTGGCGCGTGTGG